TTGGGCTAGAGATTCCTGAGCCAGAGTTATGTTGCTATGGACTGAAAAGTTGTCTGACTAAATGAGGAATTGTACCTAGTTGTTAACTTGGCTTGAGATTTCTATTCGCTAAATCTGGACTTTCACTGTGTGATATTCTATGCCTCTCCATCACCCCACCCTAAAACCTGTTTCTCTAATAAACCCCACAACTGTTAGTAAAACGAGTTCTTATAAAGTCTGTGAATGGCAATGAGTTCACTTTGCAATGACTTTTGGAACCAGTAATTTATAGAGCTAGTTATAACAGACCGGGAGACCATGTCTGACTTTGTGGGACTCAGTTTCATACTGTAAATGTTGTTGATAGTTAGTAGAGATTGGACTTTGTCATTCCCATGTTGTGTGGCCCTTTTATAGTTCAGTTATCTTTTCTTTATCATTGTGCTGTTTTTTTTTTGTTACTCTTATCCAATATATTTTCAATATTTGATATTTTAGTTCAAAAACTAGGAGTCCTACTTCATTTATTTTCCATCTTTCATTTATTTTCTCATTATATTATACTTTGTGTTAATTCTATGCATATATCTAAATAGTGGTTTTCAATGTGTTCCGGAGTTCTGGCTGTCTACCAGTAACAATCTGCACTGCAATCCTAAAGGTACATGATTCATTTCGAATCCATGAGCTTCTCAGTGGGAGAAGGATGTGAATTTTCCTCCTGCGTGATTACGGCCTCTGAAAACCTACTGGAGGGTCAGCTACGGGTCTGTTCTGACTTGATGGCATACTACAACAACAACAATTCTATGTTTACTATAATATCAGCATCTATTTCACATATTAAAAACTCCAGATTAGTATGGCAGGTTTTTTGTTTCTCCTATGCTTACCAATTTTATTGTGTGCTGAATATTTTTAAATTTATGTTAATGAGTACTGTTTTACTGTACTACTCTAACACTCTTGTAAGAAAATTCTAATTTCAAAGATAAGTCAAAGTTTGCTTTTTTAATAACACAATTTTAAAAAAATAATTGTTAAGTGTAACTTTTTCAACTCTCCAGTCTTCTGTACCTCACCACTATGAACTATTGTTTATTCTTTCTCAGTGTATTTGCTTTTTGTCAACATCTCATAAGGAAGAACCAGACAGTATTTGTTCTTTGTCTGACATTCCAGTGAACATGATATTTTCAAGATTAATGTAGATAATGACATTCATCAAAACTTCGGAGTAATTTTGTGGTTGAACAATATTCTCACTTTGTGTATATATCACATTTGTCTTAGTTATTCATTTTTTGGAGGTCTGGTAATACCTTAAATCTTTTGGTGTATATGTGTCAGTTTGAATCAATGCTTTCAGTTTTGGAAGGTGAAAAACACTTAAAATTGGAGTTAATGAGCCATGTGGAATTGTGTGTTTAAATTCACGGTAAATAACCAAAGTGTTTCTACATTATTTTAGTATGCATTATTTTATTCCCAGCAGTAATACATGGAAGCTTAACTTCTCCAATATTGGATATTTTTTACTTTCTTAACAATAATCATCATAATAGACATGAAATGATTTTCCATTATAGTGTTTTGTATATTTTTATTTTGACTAACAATTATGTGTTCCCAAGATGCAGAATCTCCATTAGCAGAGATTCCGCAATAAAGTGAATTATAAAGAAAATCTTGGTGGCCAACCTCCACCCATCAGCCAGTGAAATTCTATGTATCACAAGGGTGAATTATTTTTTAACATTTTTTCTCATACTAATATCTGTAAAAGTTAAATCAAGATTAGTAGATGGCCTAACACTTTTTGGTTTTACCTCATTAGGGTAAACATTTGTAAGATGCTTAGTTATTGGCATTTTATTTAGCAACTTAAAATATTTTGTTAAGGAGTTAGCCTCAAAAGAATCCCAGAGATTCTCATCTACACATTAAATAAATTACAGTGCTTGGTTGAGAACTTGGATGAAAATTTTGAATATACAAAGTTAACTGTTATTGTTACCATTGTTTTCTTTGTTTCTAGGAAGTAAACACAAATTTGAAATGATACACTTTGTCTCTAATTTTAATTTTAGTGACTAGAAAATAATTGAAACTTGCATTTCATTCAGTAAAATATATTTCCTACATTAATGTTTAATTCATGATCTACAAACAATTGAGCTGCCAATCAAAGATAGAAATTTCAAATTAAAGCTTTGGATAGAATAGTAAAACATCCTGCAAGTAATAAAAGAAGATGGAAAGAGTGTACAGAGTCATTATATAAAAAAGGAATTGGCAAACACAGAAGAATTTCATGGAACACATGAGCAAGAGATGTGGTGATAAAGGAAGAAGTTCAAGCTCCTTTGAAAGAACTGGATAAAAATAAGGTCCCAGGAATTGATGCTATACCAATTGAAATATTTCAGCTAACAGATGTTGCCATGGATGTGCTCACCAAGTTGTGCCAAGAAAACTGGAGGACAACCACTTGGCCAACTGACTGGAAGAGGTCTATATTTTGTTGCCATTCCAAAGAAAGATGATCAGACAGAGTGTGGAAATTACTGAACAATATAATCAATATCACACATGCAAGCAAGATTTTGTTGAAGATTATCCAAAAACAACTGGAATAGTACATCAGCAGAGAACTACCAGAAGTCCAGGCTGGGTTTAGAAGGGGTCATGGTACTAGGGATATTGTAGCTGATGTTAGATGGATCTTGGCTGAAAGCAGGGAATACCAGAGGAATGTCTATCTGTGTTTCATTGATTATGTAAAGGCATTTAACTGTGTGGCTCACAACAGACTGTGGCTGAATCTGAGAAGAATGGGAATCCCAGAACGTTAGATTGTGCTAATGCGAAACCTATGATTGAACCAGAAGGTAGTTGTTAGAACAGTGCGAAGAAACAATGCATAGTTCACAATTGGTAAGGGTGTACACCAGCTATGTGTCCTATCTCTATACCTTTTCAATCTATATGCAGAACAGATTATCCGAGAGGCTGGGTTCTATAAGAAGAAATGTGGAATCAGGATTTGAGGAAAACTCATCAAGAATCTGTGTTATGCAGATGACAAAACCCTGCTTGCTGAAACTGAGGAGGACCTGAAGTACTTGCTGTGGAAGGTGAAGAACTATAGCCTTCAGTATGGATTGAGGCTCAGTATCAAGAAAACAAAGATTCTCACCACTGGGCCCATTGGCAGCATCAGGATGGATGGTGAAAAGATTGAGTTTGTTCACAGCCTTCGTTTGTTTGGCTCCACAATCAACACTCTTAGCACTAGCAGCCAGGAAATTAAAAGCTGTATTTTGAAGGGGAAGTCCGTAGTTGGAGACCTCTCTAAAGTACTGAAGAGCAACAATATCGGTCTGGAAACTAAGGTGCACCAGATACAGGACATGGTCTTTGTAATCACTTGCTATGCATCAGAACAACTAGGGAGGATAGAAGGAGAATTGATGCCTTTGAGTTGTGGTATTGCAGAAGAGTATTGAATATACCATGGACTGCAAAGAGAACAAACAGGTTTGTTCTGTCCAGGTTTGTCCAGGGTGAAGCCAGGCTGCTCCTTGGAGGCAAGGATTCTGAAGCTTCATCTGACATACTTTGGACATGTGGCAAGGAGGGACCAGTCCTTGAAGAGGAACATCATGTTTGGGAGGGTGGAGGGACAGTGCAGAAGAGGAAGATCCTTGATGAGATGGATTGATTCACTGACTGGCAAAATGAGGGTAGCTGTGTCAGAGACAATGAGATTGGCACAGGATAGAGCAGGATTTAGGGCTGTTGTACACAGAGTTGCTATGAATCACAGGTGACTCGACGGCACACAACAACAACAATGAAGGTCAGAGATAAGAAGTCTTCTCCCTTGTTCTACCGGGGGGGTCACCAATGGGTCAGTTCATGCTCAGAGGTTCTTAACAACAACGGCAACAGTAATCTTTGTGTATAATTAATTGATAATATCATTTTCCACATATTGCATTATTTCTTTAACACAATATTTAAGCATTGAAAAAATATTGAAAATATTTTTAATATTTTGGCAGGTTCTCTTGAGTGTGACACTGCTTTTTCTGAAACATTAATTAGAAATTATATACGTATTTTATCATGCTTCATTATCATATTCTCCATTAGATTAACTAATAAATGTTTAGTTTTTTGAATCAGAATATCTAAATATTTTTTACATCCTATTTTCATCCATTTATTTTATTTCCCTTTACATTTTCCATCTCTTCCTTCAAATATCTTATATAGGAATGTACAATATCACCATGGGAATGAACATGTAAGGTATTCATTATCTAAGGAAGAAGAAAACAAAAATTCAATGGCAAAAAAATTAAAGCTATCTTGTTTACTTGGAATGTATTTTAAAACACCATAGACTGACAATAAAAGGACAACTATCTCCAACGTTGTTTATACTGTTGCTTTGTTGTTATCAAGTCTCATCATGTTGACTAGGACTCTGAGAAGCAGACTTGTAGCTTGTTGTATCAGGTGCCATCCTTAAGATCTCCGTCTTACTCAAGCTCCTTGTTGGAGTTAATCATTTCAGCTCATTGAGGGTTTTCCTTTCCTCTGCTGACCCTTTACCGTTCCCAAAGTGATATCTTCCTCCAAGAACTAGCTCCTCCTGAAGATATGTGATTTTAGCATTAGAACATATACTGGAAAAAAGACTAAGAAGGTCCTTGTCTTTAGACATATTCACACACACAAACACATCAAGACTGAAATACATGCATCATGTAAAATTATGAGAGTCAATGAAATCACATAAGTAAACAGTAAATAAAAATTATTGGGGGCTAAGTGACTTCTAATATTTATCAGAAATAAAATTAATTTACCTGGACATAACATAAACAAAGTAATGTTATAAGTAATAATTAATTAGCAATTAATAATTATTATTTGATTTGGAACCATACCTACTAGGATATTATAAAACAGTGTTGTCTTGGATATTATTTCTGAAACAAAGTCAGCTATTGAATACAATTCTTAATTTTCTTTTTAAAAACCCTCTTGAAGGCATTTTTAACTTCTTTATTCCGTAAGCTGTATATCAACGGGTTAAGCATGGGAATGACTAAAGTGTAAAACACAGAGGTCAGTATGTCTTTATCATGTGAATGAGCCGACTTGGGCTGCACATACATAAATAATAAAGTCCCATAGAACACAGCGACCACTGTCAGGTGAGAGCCGCACGTGGAGAATGCTTTTTTCCTGCCCTCAACAGAATGCATTCCAAATACAGTTATCAGAATCAGCAGATAGGACACCAACACTACCAGGAGGGAGGACATTAAATTAAATGCAGAAAATACTATGAGCATCAGTTCCACTTCTTGTGAATTAGAGCAGAGCAGAGATGACAAGGGAACCTCATCACAGTAGAAGTGACTGATGACATTAAAGCCACAGAAGACAGACGTAAAAGTCTTAATAGTGAACAAGAGAGCCTGAAAAGCACTGTAGAGGTATGACGTTCCCATGAGCACATGACAAAGTCTTTGCGACATGATGACATTGTAGAGCAGAGGATTACAGATGGCTACATAGCGGTCAAAGGCCATGACTGATAGGATGAAGAGTTCACTGACAGTGAAGAAAATGAATAACGTCAGCTGGGTGGCACATTCATAATAGGGAATGATATTTTGCTCTGCAATAAAATTGACCAGCATCTTGGGACAAATGGCAGTGGAATTACCAAGGTCAATGAAGGCCAAGTGTCTGATAAAAAAATACATAGGGGTATGGAGGTGAGAGTCTACTTTGGTCAAGATGATTAGGACTGTATTGCCCATCACTGTGGACATGTAGATGAAGAGGAAGACCCCAAAAAGTGGAAGCTGTAGCTCATGGCGATTAGTGAGTCCCATTAGAATGAATTCAGTCACCACTGTTAGGTTGTGTTGGCCCATTTAGTCCCGTTATATTTTTCTAGGAAGAAACAAAGGGATTATTATTGTTAGTTTTCAAATAGCATTGTCTAAACAAATCATAATAATATTCGTACAAAGAATGAAAAGTGGGTTTTTTACATTTTTGTTATTATTTGTAATAACAAAACATGGATAACTTTGAAAAGGAGAATTCTAACACTTAATAGTCTCATGGACTTATAAACTTATATATGTTGTTCTAGAGCATCATAGAATCTGCTTCAATAAAAGTAACTGAAGTCTACAGAAGCCATTGTCACAGAGTGAAAAGACCACAAAATTGGGCATATTCTTACACTGTTGAATTTTAGTTACAAAATCCAAAGCTGGCCATCAGGGGAGTTAAAGGTGGTATATGCAGAAGTGAGAGTTTTACCTGGTTGGGTTAATACATTTGGTAAATTTGCATGATTGGTCAAAGCACCTGCCAACCAGTTCATTGCAGGATGCTCCAAGGAAGATGGAAAAGACCAGGTTTTTCTAGAAACCTATTCTCTTTTTCACTTATATCTGCTTGTGGAAGTCCACTGTAGATATTTAGATAATGCTGTGTTTCAAAACACTTCCTTCATATATATATATATATATATATTTTTATTTAATGGCAAATACTCGTCAGGAATGCGTTAGCTATCCTTTACAGGCCAAACTCAGAAAATGGAATGTTGTCTTTGAGGAATATAGACCAAGATTAACTAGGCTGCCCTCTGAAAAGGCAGTTTTCCAAAATCCAACATAGATCCCAGACTCCTATAAAAACCTTAAGGCTCCAATTTTAGACTACCACATTTACATAGAAATCAAATGTCTCTTGTTTTTATACTCACATACACCAAGAAGCAATTGTTTCCACTGAACAGTGGAATACTGCATGATTTAAAGACACACACAAAAATGTATGGACTATATTTGAGATTTAATAAGTTCACTTTTATAGTTCAAAAGCAATAGCATGAAGCATTTAATAAAGTGTTATTTCTGGCTTTAGAATAACTTCTAAGAAGAGCAGTGTTGTTGTTACGTGTCACTGATACAAGTCTGACTTATAGTGACCCTATGTGCAACAGTTAGGAATCCTGCTCCATCCTGAGCCAACATCATTGTCTCTGATGCACTTATGCCCACAATCCCAGTTACTGAGTCAATCCATCTCATCCAGGGTCTTCCTCTCTTGCATTGTCCCTCCAACAAGCTTGCTGTCCCTTCACCAAGCATAATGTTTCATTCCAAGGACTAGTCTCTCCTAGCAAACATGCGCAAATATGTCAGACAGCTTCAGAATCCTTGCCTCCAAGGAGCAGCCTGGTTTCACCGTCTTCAGGATGGTACAGTGGCACTTGGTATACTGATAATTCTCTTCAATGTAACTAATTGGTTTTTATTTAAATTTCTTATCAAAATCAGTTGTTTATACTTGAATTTTGTTTCAAATTTTAAAATATTAAAAATCAATATTTGCATGTATAATTCAATTTACATTATACCTTAATTTCACTTTTTAATAAAGTCTTTTAAATTAGTTTAAGTTTCAAGGCACGCAAGATCTGGACATATTTGTGTTAAAATAGTTTATATTTTCAACTATTATATATTTAAAAATAGTCAGGGATTTGGGTTATTTAATTGTATATGCTCTATTTCCTGTAATGTAATACCATGTAGAAGGTAGTTCCCATGACTTATTTAAAAGTTTTTATATGTCTATTCATTATGTTGTACATAGGGTCGCTATGAGTCGCAAGCGACTCGACGGCACATAACAAGAACAACAGCATTCATTATGCCATATATAGCAAACTGTCAATGTATTTCTCTAATAATAAGAGTTTATTTATAAAATAAATTTATAGAATATAAGACAAAGTCACTAAATCAAAGTGGAGTTAGTTCAATTACTTGGTTTCCCTTTTATATTTTTCTCAAATTCATTGTCTCATCAATAGAAGCCTAGGATCTGTAAGAATGGTTTTCAGTTGGAATGATAAGTGAATTTATAAATATTCAGTGATATAATATGCATGATATAATTATTGTTTTCGAACAGAATACCCACAGTTAGCCTGCACAATTGTAAACTTTACTATTGAAATATTCAAAGGGTCCCTGACAAGGTTTAAGTCAATAGTATGGAGTATTTTTTTTATGT